GAGGGGGGCCCCGATCCTCCGCAGCGCGGCTCGGGAGGAAACCCCCGCAGGGACGGCCGCCCTGGGGCGCAGGCAGGGCCCGGGATCGCCCGCCTCCCAAACGGGAGGGTCTGGGCTCTCTTTGGGGGCCAAGGTGGGGCGAGCCTGGGAGGGGGGATCGGGGCGCCACTCCAGCTCGCCCTTCGGGGACGCTCCCCGCGGAGACACCCCCCCGACACACACACACACACACACACACACATGAGCCCCGGAGGGGGGCCCGGCGGGGATGCCCACGGACGGCTCAGGCGTCCCATTTCCCGCCGCCAGCCTTTTCCTGGGCGTCGCGCTTCCCCGCCCTTCCTCCTGGGGGCGCTCTGGGACCGGGGGGTGGGGGCAGCTGGCCCGAAAGGCCCCACCGCTGGGCAAGGGGGGGTCTGGACCCCCATCAGCCACACAAGGCTCCGTCCCGGTGCTCTTGGCTGCTGCCCCCCCCACCTCGCGTGGGAGGCACAGGGAGGGGGAGCGGTGTGGACCTCCACCCGGGATGGTCCCCTTGACTCCCTGTGGGTCTCATCCTGGGGTCCCCAGATGTTCTTGCACTGCAACTCCCAAAGATCCTGGCCAGCACTGCCGGTGGTGAAGGCTTCTGGGAGTTGCAGTCCAAGAACATTGGGGGGGGGGACACACCTCAGTTTGAGACCCAGGAGTTGTACCAACCCAATGATGGGTTTGCTGGGCATTTTAAAAATGTTCTGCCAGTTGCTGCGTGGCGGTTGAATCTGGGGGCGAGGGAGCTGGCCTGGGGGACCATGTGCTTTGTACGGCACCTGTGGTGCCCCCCCCAACCCAAACACCGTGTACAGAGAGGTCCAGAACCTGTGACCTGGAAAGCCGTCTCTCCTCTGAATAAGCAAGCAACTTTTTGTAGTTTTTAACTTTCCACCGACCAGAGGTTTGCCACTTCCGGTTCTAGTCTAGGTGACGCCGGACTTCGTTTCCCAGAAGCGCCTGCCAACATGGCCAGTGGTGAGGCATTCTGGGAGCTGAAGTCCAGAACATCTGGAGGGAGCCAAAGGTGATGTTTGTGTTTTTTTGAACCACTGGGCTGGATTTTAGTCTCAGCATCTAAACATCTCTGTCGGCTCACAAATGGGCTGCCCTGCAGCAGGACGTGGCCTCTTGTGCCGATGATGCTTCCGACATGTCCTCCCCAGAGGCACATCTCCAAAGCGAAAAAAGAGGATGCCAGGGGGCAGGCCAGATTTCATGCCAGTCCTGTACAAACGGCACCGTGCAGGCCAAACCCAAACTGAAACCGGGGCCTGTTTTCAGCTGTTTTTTCCCCCAGATCCTACAGTCTGTGGATGCCGATGCACTGCTTTAACCATTGGAAACGCTCCTTTTTTGCATAGAAGGGGAGGACTGGGAACAAGAATGGGGAGGGAGAGGATCCTGAGAAAAACACCACCCACGAGCCAGCCGGCGTGTGTGTGACACCTTTGAGCAAGCAAGTCTGCCTAGCGCAGTTGCAAAGCCATCTGGACCGATCTCAGGAGCTGGCCCCAATCCGGGAGCCCTTCTTCCCTTTTCCAACCAGGAAATGCTGCGGCAGAGATGGTAAAAGTTGCCGGCAAATTCCGGCCTTCCCAGAGCTGAGAGTAGACCTTGGAGCACCAATATTAACAATTTATTGATGGTGCTTTGTATCTATAAAAGCGATTCCGTGCATGCTGGAATCTGAACTTTTAGGCAGACACCTCAGGGTGTGTGTATGTGTGTGTGTGTGCATTGATTTCCTTGCTGGCAGTAAATAAACACTTTCCTGACCCCCCCCCCCAATGTACACCTCCTGGCAGATTTCTAAAGAAAAGGCCTCCAGGCTTTAATGCAAACGGCAAAGCCAAAGGCACCGGTTCCTATTTCCCTTGCCGTTCCTAGCGTGCAGGATTTGAGCCGAATGGCGAACACATGGCGTCCCTTCTGTCTGGAGAGGAAAAAGCACCAGGTGCCAAACCATCCTAGAGGGTAGTTTTCCATGGATAGAAATCCGAGGCGGAGGAGCAGGAGATGTGTCTACGGGACGTGGCAAAAGGGCTCAGGGGGTACCGTCTTCAAGCCCCCCACTCAGCTCCAAACCGTTTTTGCTGACGTATTTTCTGAGCCTCGGTCTCTTCCTATAAGCAGCTCAGAACAGCCTGGAGATTTCTCTCTCTCTCTTTTCGCCTGGAGCCACAAAAACGTGACTTTTCCCTAGACAATTGTCCCCAGAACGTCAGCATGCGGTGACCAGCGCTAGTAGAACAGCAGCCTCCTGCGCGCCCACGGGGGCTGCTGCGCCTTTGCTACGTCCCGACTGACGTCTCTCTCCCGTCCCCCTTGCAGGAATCGGCCGTGGCTTGAGCACGGGCTTCTGCCGCCTCTGCCACGGAAAATTTTCCGCCAGGAGCTTGCGGACGGCGTTCGGGAAGGTCCCCGTGGCGGGCGAGAGCGTCGAGAAGCCGCGGCGCCTGGAGCAGGGCTTCTTTGTGGATTTCCAGCGCCTGGTGGGGGTGGCCGCCCGGCAGGACCCCTCCCTCCCCCAGTTCGTCTGCAAGAAGTGCCACGCCCAGTTCTACAAGTGCCAGAGCATCCTCAAGGCCTTCATCCAGAAGGTGAACCTCTTGCCCACGGGCCACCTCAAGCCACGAGGAAAGTAGGTGGAGCCCCTTTCTCCCCTCTTGGTGGGTGTGCATGGAGGGGGGGGGAAGAGCAGGATGGCCAGCGGCCACTTCAGTGAGCTAGCCAGGCCGGCGGGTAAACACGAGGCCGTGAGAAGCAGCATGGCGTTCAGTTGGCTCATAGTAGAATATAGATACGGCTAGCAAAATTCTTGGGGGGGCTACTAACTTGTATGGTCTTGTTTCACTCAGCCAAAGCGCTCTGAGAGAGAGAGAGCTTTTGCAGCAGCTGAAAACAGGCGAGGCACACAAGAGTTTCCAAATCTTGCAGTTTTAGATAAAAATGCACCCTTTCTCCAGCTTGCCTTCTCTGATCGGTGCTGCCGTCTGTTTTCCATAGGGATAGCGTTGTCCAGCCTTCCCCGCCTGCTGCTGAAGAAAATGCTTCCTCTTTAGGTAAGTGGATTTATTTATTTGGAAAACCTGTGAATCTTCTGTTCAAGATAAGACCGAGGTGGCCGTGTTGCTTCCCGAGACTCCAAGCGGTTCCATTTTTCTTGTCCTTCCCTGCATGGATGAGCTTAGCACCCCCACGATTCTACTGGAGTGAATAAGGATCAGTTTGAGGCTGCTCAGCAAGGCAGTGTTTTTATTTTCATTTGTTCTGAATGCCAATGAATGAGTTTTATGGTGTCCTAGAGCCTCCCACCAGCCACCTCTTTTGTGGTTAAATGCTGTCAAGTCGTCCTTGACTTCCGGCAACCTTAGGGATGAGCAACCTCTGAAATGTCCCCCCCCCTCAACAGCCCCTCCTCAGCTCTTGTGGACCCAAGCCTGTGGCTTCCTTTGAGGAGTCCACCCGTCTCTTTCTTGACTTCCGGCAACCTTAGGGATGAGCAGCCTCTGAAATGTCCCCCCCCTCAACAGCCCCTCCTCAACTCTTGCGGACCCAAGTCTGTGGCTTCCTTTCAGGAGTCCACCTGTCTCTTTCTGGGTACTCCTCTTTTCCTGCTGCCTTCCACTTTCCCCAGCATGACTGTCCTTCCCAGAGAAGACAGGGCAGCTCTTTCTGACCTTATGTGCCTGGTTCTCCTCCTTTCTCCTTCTCCCTGCAAACAGCAGACCTGATCACATCCAGCCCTCAGTGCCTCCACAAGCTGGTGATGTGGGCACACAGCCACGCCCAGAGCTGCCAGGTGGCCCCAAGGCTCCAGAGCATTCTTTCCTCCGAATACCGTGGGATCATCCAGGCCGCGTGGGGCTGCGGAGAGGGCCACGATTACGTCATGAGCACGGACTCAGACTGCAGCGCCCTGCTGGTAGACAACGCCTTCTCTGCCAAATGGGAATTGATCAAGGGTGCCTCTGAGCGTGTGACCGGAAACGGGGTCGATGCCCGCAGTGCTGGGACTGTGCCGGAGCCCCAGAGTAGCCCAGCCAGGACAGCCACCAGCCAGCCACCCACAGACAGAGGGGCCGGTGCTTTGCCAGCTTCGAGCGCAGAAGACTGGGTGCCCGAGGGTCACCACCTGCCTGCCTCAGAAGAGGCCGCCGGAGTTCCTTCGCAGGCGGAAAGCCCGCCACAGCCAGCTTGCCCTCTCAACGGGAGCCCAGGTAAGACGCATTTACGCAGAGAATCCAGAGTTACACCTTGACCCAGGTCTCCCTAAGCACCATTCTTAAGAAACCTGCATTTGTTGGACCTGCAGGAGGGGATCGGGACCCGTTGCGCTCTCTGCATGCATGGTTTCTTTCCATTTCCGCCCCATCAAGGTGGTTCTCCACTTGGCCCCGTTCCTGTTTCCTAAGTAGGTAATTCCTCGCCCACAAAGACAGAGAATTGCCGTATTGACTTTCTCCCCGTGAGGACCCAGAGCCATTTCTCAGCACACGAGAGCGACTTTCCCCCCACAAATCGGACAAAGCTGTCAGGGCTGCTGCTTTGCTTTCTGGGCTTTGAGGAACGAGAAGCATAGGATGGTTTGCTTGTGTCTTTTTTAGACAGACAGCCAGTCCTTTCGTGGTTGCTCTTTTCCCTAATTTATAAAAAAGGAGAAAAACACGTAAAAGTTTGCAAAGACGGTGAGGAAGTGGGTGAGGGAAGGGCCTCCCTGTCCTCTTGCCACTCTAGAGCTGAAAAATCCTTCCCCGATTCAAAAATTCAGGCCGAGGTATCTCAGCTTGTCGGGACAGACGAAACTGGCAAGAACAAGGACTCGAGCCGGTGTTGGACGTGTTCCTAGCATGTCCTGAACCGTTGTGCCCACAGACCCCTGCTCCTTTTTTATGACGAGGCAGGGGAGAGCTCCCGCCCAGACCTTTCGTCTCCGAGGCCCTTTAAGCTCTCTCTGCATCAAGGACTGTCCCTTTCTGCGGTCTCGTATCTCTTGGCGACCCTCCCTCTTCTCCCGTTTTTCTAGGAGCGCCAAGCGAGAAGCCAGTTCTCCCTGAAGCATTGGATGAGCGGGTAAAAGACGAGTTCAGTGACCTTTCTGAGGGGTGAGAGAAGAGTTGGGTTTGAATTGTCCTCTTTACAAGCTTACAAAATGGGGATGGTGGAGGGGAGGGCATCTTATTCCTCCCTGGAGGCCTGGGAGACAGAGGGGTGGCCACCAAGCAGCAGCTGGCAGGTTCTGGTGGTTTTTACTGCAGCCTGGGGAGACCGTCGTTTCTTTAAACGGAGAGTGGGGCAAATGCCCTCCCTCGTGTTGGTGGGACTCCGGTGCCCTTCAGTCCTTGTGGGCATGGCAGGAAAGAGCCCTGGGAACAGCAGTCCCAAAAATCCAGGGGGCAGGGAGGGAGCTGCCTCTGCAGCTGTACACGCTTCCAGAAACATGACCAAAATCTTCTGCCAGGACCGACGGCTGATGCAAAGCAGCTGGTGCAAAGCAGAAACTTTAAAAAGAAACACTCTTCTGAATGCTGGCTTCCAGTTACCTGGCCCTTAGAAAGCATGGCTAACAACAAGGCCAGTGGAGGGGGTGGCATTCCAGTGGAACTCTTTAAAAACTTAAAAGATGATGCTGTTAAGGTGCTACGCTCAACGTGCCAGCAAGTTTGGAAAACTCAGCAGTGGCCAGAGGATTGGAAAAGATCAGTCTACATCCCAATCCCAAAGAAGGGAAGTGCCAAAGAATCCTCCAACTACCGTACAATTGCACTAATTTCACATACTAACAAGGTTATGCTCAATATCCTACAAGGCGAGCTTCAGCAGTATGTGGACCGAGAACTCCCAGAAGTTAAGCTGGATTTTGAAGCGGCAGAGGAACTAGAGACCAAATTGCTAACATGCGCTGGATTATGGAGAAAGTCAGAGAGTTAAAAAAAATTACTTCTGCTTCATTGACTACGCAAAAGCCTTTGACTGTGTGGACCACAACAAACTATGGCAAGTTCTTAAAGAAATGGGAGTGTCTGACCACCTTATCTATCTTCTGAGAAATCTGTATGTAGGACAGGAAGTAACAGTTAGAACTGGATATGGAACAACTGATTGGTTTAAAATTGGGAAAGGAATATGGCAGGACTGTATATTGTCTCCCTGCTTATTTAACTTATAAGCAGAATACATCATGTGAAAGGCAGGACTGGATGAATCCCAAGCCGGAATTAAGGTTATCAGAAGAAATATCAACAATCTCAGATATGCAGATGATACCACTCTGATGGCAGAAAGTGAGGAGGAATTAAAGAACCTCTTAGTGAAGGTGAAAGGAGAGAGCGCAAAAAATGGTCTGAAGCTCAACATCAAAAAAACTAAGATCATGGCCACTGATCCCATCACCTCCTGGCAAATAGAAGGGGAAGATATGGAG